CCATGCTTATGAAAATAATGCTTTCCATAGGAGAAAGTCCTTGTGACCTTGAGTTAGGCAAAAACCAAACTCCACTGCATTAGAGTCAATTCTGACTCATAGTGACACATACAGGATTTCTGAGACAGTAAATCGTTAAGGGAGCAGACTGCCTCATCTTTCTCCCATAGAGTTGCTGGTGGGTTTCAACTGCTGACCTTATAGTTACTAGTCCAGCACCTAATCCACAGTGTCACCAGGGCTCCTTTTTTAGGATTAGGCAAAGATGCCTCACATATGATGTGATTCATAAAGAAAAAAAAAAAAAAGATATATAGAACTACATCAAAATTAAGAATTTTTGCAAATCACCTAGCTGATAAAGACCTTGTATCCAGATTTATCTAAAGAAATCTCACAACATAATATTACAAAAGGTAAACAACCCCATTTAAAAGATGGGTGAGAGGTTAGAACAGATACTTTCATCAGTGAAGATACACAATTTGAAACTAATAAGTAAACATATGAAAATGCTTCTAAGTCATTAAAAGAGTGCAGATTAAAATCATAATGAGATACGACAACATACCTATTATAATGGCTAAACTGTAAAAATACTGCTCTTGCTAAGTGTTGACAAGGATATGGGACCAACTAGATCTTACATACACTGCTGGTGGAATATAAAATGGCACAACTGTTTAGGAGAAATAGCTTGGCAATTTCTTAAAAAGGTAAACATATACCTACCATATGACTCAGACATTAACACTCCTGGGTAGCCACCCGAGAGAAATAAAAGTATATGTCCACACAATATTTGTGCATGAATGCTCATGGCAGCTTGTGTGTGTGAGTGTGTGTGTGTGTGTGTGTGTGTGTGTGAGAGAGAGAGAGAGAGAGAGAGAGAACCCCAAAATGGGAAGCATTTGAAATATCCATCAACAGGTGAGTGGCTAAACTAATTGTGGTGCATGCTTACTGTGGAATACTAATGATATTGCTGTGCACAACACAACTGATGCATTTTAAAATAACTTCATGCTGAGTGAAAGAAAACTGGCTGCCATCAAGTTGATTCTATGATAATTCCATGTGCATCAGAGGAGAGTTGGGTCCCACAGGGTTTTCAGTGGTTGAATTTTTGGAAGTAGAGCTTTAGGCCTTTCTTCCAAGATGCTTTTGGGTGGGCTTCAACGGTCAGCATTTTGGTTAGCAGCTGAGCATGTTAACTGTTTGCACCACACAGGTGCTTCTGGGTGAAAAAGTCACACTAAAAAAAGTTCTAGAAAATACCTAATATCTTTTGATTAGAAGGAGATCAATTTAATTAACCCATTTATAGTTGTTATTGTTGTGGAGTGCTGTTAAGACTCATAGCAACCCTGTACAGGATTTTTGAGGCTCTACATTTTGCGGGAGCAGAACGCTTCATCTTTCTCACATGGAAAGGCTGGTGGGCTTGAATCAGTGACCTTGTGGTTTGCTGTTCAATGTTTATTGTAGAGAGCCACTGTGCTCTCTCATTTTATAGTTCTTGTTGTTATGTGCCATGGAATCAGTTCCGACTCATAGTGACCCTGTCCAGGGTTTTTGAGGCTGTAAATCTTAACGGGAGCAGAAAGCCTCATCTTTCTCCTGCACAGCAGCTGATAGATTCGAACTGCTGACCTTGTGGTTAGCAGCCCAGCTCATAACCCACTACGCTACTAGAGCTCCTTTGGGCTTATGTGAGTAGGTTAAAGCAGTTCTCCAAGGAGACTTCAAATGAACTCATGATTCTCCCTGTTTAACTGTTTAGTAGTAGTTAACAACAACAGCTCTAGTTAGTAGTCTTAGTCTGCCTCTTCAGAGCCAACTTTCGTCCTACCCATTAGAATATCCAACAAGAGTGAATCTTTTGAGTCATGGTTCTCTGTAGTTTTGGTTTTTCAGTTCAGCCAGCCCACCCTCTCCTCCCAGCCTCTTTTCCCCTTGGTCTTTTGCATCTAGTTGCCCATGCTACTTAGACATTTTCTTGGGCACTTTTCTCTCCTTTGCCCTTCAAGTCTATCAGCAAGTCCAACAGATTTGATTCCAAAGTAACATTTCAAATTCTTCTACTTCTTTCCACCTTGATTGATGCTATACCCCTAATTCAAACTCTGTGTCTCCCTTGAACTGCTGCAGTAACTTCCTAGTGGGTTCTTCACTTCCTTTCTCCCTCTGTCCTGCTTCCAACATTCTTCTAGCTTTTAGCATTTAGAGTAACAAGCGCACACTGTGGCCAGCATGTCTCACTTAATTTTTACCACTTGATACTCTCCTCACTCCAGCTGTGGTTCGCCCTCCCAGTGGTCTGTGAACACTTAACTTACTTTTCCTCAGAAGCTGTTCTAGTTTCATGGCAGTAGTCGCTATACACAGTGAGACTAAATCTTTACAGGAACAGAAAGTCTCATCTTTCTTCCACGGAGTGATTGGTAGATTCGAATTGCTGACCCTGCAGTTAGCAACCTAACTTACGACCCACTCCACTAGCAGGTTTGTTTGCTGTTGTTCAGTGCCACCGAGTCAGTTCAACTCATAACAATCCTGCATAGAGTTTCTGAGGAGCGGCTGTTAGGCCCTGGCACATATTCTCTCAGTTTAATAGCATAATTCAGCTACTTGCTGAATATTTTCTGTAACTTTGTGTGCTAAGTGTTTTATTGTTGTTGTTAGATGCTGGAGAGTTGTCTCTGACTCATCGTGGCCCCATGGGGCAGAGTAGAACTACCCCTAGGGTCTCCTAGGCTATCATCTCACAGGCGCAGATCTAGAGAACTGTCTTCTACACAGCAGCTGGTAGGTTTGAACCACCAACCTTTCAGTTCGCCACTGAGCAATTATAATTATCCATTATGCCATCAGGACTGCTAGGTACTTTATAAGCATGTTTTACAGTTAAGTTACATGTAACAAGGTTGAGAATTTGGTAATTTTCCCTTTTTTATTTCTTAGGTGAGGAAACTGGGACACAGAGAATTGCAGTAGTTTGCCTTGCTTCATACCAGGGCATCTTCCAAAAGTTCATAGAAAAATGGAATTAAAACATAACGTAATTTTTCCACAGACTTTTTGAAGCCTCTTCGTACTGTTTTAGTGTGTGATGGAAACCATCTTGAAGTCTTTCTGTCTTTGGTATTGAAGTTTCAGAAGTATTTTTACTTCCTTAATTGTGTGTATGTGGTGTAAATATACACACTAAGACTTCCACCCGTTGAACAATTTCTGCATGTAAGCGGCAGTGATATTCATTACACAACACTCTTCATGTGTGCAATCCCTGTTACTATCCTTTTCTGAAGTATCAAGCCACCATTTACATAAATTCAGTGCCCCCTAAACAAGGAGTCCCCTTCTCACCCCTGGTAACCATGGACAGTCTTCGATTTTTGTATCTACGCATATCCTATGTGAGCTCATACATGACTTATTTCACTCAACATAGAGTTTTCCTGGTGTGGTGCTGTAGGATAGGCACTGGACTGGTTCAAACCCACCAGTCTCTCCTCGGAAACTCTGTACAAGATCACTGTGAGCCGGAAACGAGTTGACAGCACTTAACAACATTATCAAGGTTCATCCATACCGTGGATTTCTCGTTGTGGCTGGGTCATACTCCAGTGTATGCATGAGCCACGTTTTGTGTGTCCATTCATTTGTTGGTGGATATTTCAGTTGATTTTGCCCATCGTGAAAAATGCTCCAGCGAACATTGGTATACAGGTTTCTGTTTTCATTCCTGCTTAGAAAAACCACTAAATTGATTTTTACTGTGGATGTACCTTTTTATATTACTGCCAGCAACGGATGAGGTTTCAGCATATCTACATCTTTGCCAACATTGTTTTCTACATTTTGATCATTTCCGTTCTAAATGGAGGTGACGTGATAGTTCGTGTGGTTATGATGTGCATTTCCCTGGTTGTGGTGATGTAGGTTAAGCATTGGACTAGTAACCTCAAAGTCAGCAGTTCACACTCACCAGCCGTTCTCGGGAGCGCTGGACAGGATGGCTGTGAGTTGGAACTGACTCAATGGTACAAAATAATAGTAACAATTGATCCTGATGGACTTAGAGACCCACACAACAGTGACTGATGATGTTAAGCATCTTTCCATGTGTTGCTGGCCATTTGAATATCGTCTTTGGTAAACTGTTCATGTTCTTGGCCTATTTTTTGATTGGGCTGTTTCTCTTTTTTATTATTAAGTTGTAGAAGGTTTGTTTTCTTGTTATTTTCATATATTTTGGATATTAGCCCCTATACAGGGTCACTATGAGTTGGGAACAACTTGATGACACCTAACACCAATCAGATATATGGTACCCAAATATCTCCCAATCTATGATTATCTCTTCACTTTGTTGATAAAGCCATAGGTCCTATTTATCTATTTGCAGAATTCTGGTGTGGCACTATAAGATAGGCATGAACTGCTAAATGAAAGGTTGGTGGTTTAAACCCACTAGCTACTCCTCGGAAACGCTGTATGGGGTCACTGTGAGTTGGAACCGACTTGACGGCACTTAACAACAACGTTAACAAAAGCACAAGCAGCAAAAGATAAGACAGATACATTGAGGTGGTTGTTATTGTTCCAACTTATAGTGTCCCCGTATAGGGTTTCCAAGGAGCAGCTGGTGGGTTTGAACTGCCAACCTTGCAGTTAGCAGTCCTGTACTTATACTACAATGCCACATCAGATGTCATCATTAAATGCTAGTGATCTCATGACACTTTCTGGAGAACAACCTTAGAGCAGGGCTCTAGAGTGTATGTCTTACTGAAATATAAACATTAACAGAACTTAATTACTTTGTTAGAGAAAACAACTTTTCTAGGTATTTTGTATCTTGATAATAAGAGTCAGTATACTTTAATAGTTGAGTTTATACTCTGATCTCAGACAGACATGGATTTAATCATTTTAATTTCATTTGTTTTTTTATTTTATTTTAATCATGTCATTTTGCTTCTGCTTCTCCCCAGACCAGTATTAAAGAGGGACAACTATTGAAACAAACCAGCTCTTTCCAAAGGTGGAAAAAGCGATACTTCAAACTTCGAGGCCGCACCCTTTATTATGCAAAGAACTCAAAGGTAATTAGAGGAAATACTAATTGCACATATTTGGCAGTTATTGTTGGGTTGAAAATGTTGGTGCTGTAAGCTGTTTGTTGTTTTCTTGGGGATCCGTATTCCATTATTGTTCTGATACTGGATTCAACATAAGTGCAATCCATCTTGGAGCCCATCCTGTGGGATTCTGTTTGAGCCTATTCCATAACGTGTTCCCTAAGGACAGTCTTACAGTTAAGCTTTTGTGTAATTTGCTTTTTTCCTTTCTTCTTTCCTTTCCATTAAAATGAAACATTAAATTTAATGTATTAGATATGCCAACAATCTTTTGGGTAACAGCCCAATACTTCATCCACTGTGCCACTGTAAAACTCAAATTTTTGTTTTTCCTCCTTTCTTACTACTTTTTACCCTTATAAATAACTAATTCTATGACTTTGGAGAGAGAATTGCTATAGTTTCTAAGAATTCACGTTCTGGAGTCAGACAAGAATTCATGTACTCTCCTGTATGCTGGTGGTGGGGGTGGGGGTGATCAAGTTAGTTCCGACTCAGAGCAGCTGAGATTGTAAATCTTTTATTTATTTATTTATTTATTTTGAAATATTTATATATATTTCCAACTTTTAATTGTGAATTGAGTCAAGGTAAATAGACAAAATCATCAGCTTTACTTTCAATCAATCATACATTTTGTTTCATCACAATGATTATACGCCTCTCCCAGTAACAACAGTTATCCTGCTTCCAACCTGTGGCTTCCCTGATTTTTCTTATTTTTCACAAATGAGCAAAACAAAAATACTTGATGTGCACATGCAAAACAAAACAATACATATTCGTTTATATATACAAAGGGCACATTTTGCAAGCCAGCCTCCTGCCTGAAAGCACACTGCCTTTCTCAGTCCATGGGCCTAGAGCCGTCAGCTGGTCTCTCTCTATGCCATTGCCTCTGCCACCATGAGATTGTACGTAGATCTTTATGGGAGCAGCTGGTAGATTTGAACTGGTGACTTTGCAGCTAGCAGCCCAGCTTGTAACTCATCATGCTACCAGGGCTTATATGTTCCTATGTGGTTAGCATTTACTGTTGAGAAGAGATTTACGTGAATTAAGAAGTTCACGCTGGTTCACACTGTTCAACCAGTTCACACTGACTGGTTCCTGCAGTTAGTTGGTGAAGCCCTTGTGACTTGTTCCTTAAGGTTGAAGCCATGATTCGATCAGAGGGTAAAAGATGTGTTTCCGTAAAGATTAGTGTTGGAAACAGTTCTACTGTGTCCTATAAGATCACCATGTGTGGGAATAAGACAGTGTCTTTCTAAAATGAGAAATAACACACACGTGGAGCACTGTGGCTCTGCAGATACACACTGGACTGCTAATGCTAATAAGGCTGGCGATTCGAACCCAATAGCCACTTCGAGGGGGAAAGATAAGGCTTTCTGTTCCCAATAAGTTTACAGTCTTGGTAACCCTACACATGTTCCCTGTGAGTTGGCACCAATTCAGTGGCACTTAAAACATCAGTTCCCATGAAGTGCATGTGTTGTGCCTGACACAAAATAATCACTCAATTAGGTTAACGGTTCATAATAAAAGACATTGAAATATCTTTGTATAATACTTGAACAAGATGTCTCTATTGAATTTATTAAGGTATAATAATACTGCAGTTCTTAAGAGGAAAATTTGTAATCATGATGAGCTGTCATTTAAATCTGATATTTTACTATTCAAGAATAAACTTTGTCAAAATAATTCTTGTCATTATGCCATTGTGTAATGAGTAATTTTTTAAAATGCATATTTCTGATATAATTAGTAGCACTATACAGCAAGACGTCAAAACAAACAAGGAAGAAAGTCTGCATCTTAGTTTGTGCAGCTATGAAGTATTACAATTGTTGTGTGCCGTGTTGCATTACCTAATGAGCAGGGTAAGCATGGGCCTACTTGTACTTGCTTACTAATATGTAGTGAACAATTCCACTTTTTTTTGCCACATCAAATATTCTGCTTCTAGGTCTGGCTGGCATCTGTCTCTATCCTAATCCCATAGCACATGCCTCAAGATGCAAAGCCTCTTTTTAAATTTACAGTCCCTGACAAGGATCGAAAATAATGTGAAACCGTTCACTACCAGTTAGTACGTAGACACAAGTAAGACCGTGCTTACAGTGCTTATTGTAATGTAATGTAAAGTCCACCCTGGTTATGTGCCTTCAAGGTGATTCCAACTCCTAGGACCAAGTAGAAATGCCCCATAGGGTTTTCTAGGCTGAGAAAGGCGCAGTTGAACAGATCTTTTGCCCAGCAGAGCAGCTAGTAGGTTAGAACCTCTGACCTTTTGACTAGCACCGGAGAATTTAACCTCTTATGCTCCTTGTGGGACTACTAACCACATGACATAAAAAGTCTTAATGCTCCAGGTTCTCCTAGTTTTCATGCTCTCTCTAGACAGCACTGAATGCTAGACAGGCTCAGTGGTGTCCCTCACATTCCATCCCCGGAAAGACTTCCTCCTCTCTCTCCACCTGCCGGGTTTTGGTTTTCTCTGAGGTGCCCCTCATGTTGTCATTATTCTGTGAGTCACAAGAGAAAGAGTTTCGTTGTTTGCCTCAGAAGAAATCACCCTTCCACCCTTCTGAATCTACCTTATGTTAAAAGGATTTGTGTCGTCATCTCTTGTGATGAAGGTGATGGAAGTTTTTCTGGCCAGAGAACAAATCTTATAGTCAGATTGTTTGAATGAACTAGACTTGAGTAACTCTTCAGAAAACTTGGAAGCTGTAAGTGAAGGGGAGGAGTCCATTTTCCACAGTTCAATGACTGACTGGAAGTAGGAAGGATAAATTCATCCACCAGAATTACCTCATCTCTAATTTGTACACTTAAACAATTCCATTTCTATAGAGTTTTTTGCCGCTGAGTTTTGTTGTTTATTAAATTAAATTAATTTATAAGTTAGGTGAGGGTAAGTCAGAAAATATTGCTACAACATCATAGAAACCTTTATGAAACAGAAATGTCAAAATGTGAAGCTGTTATTATTCAACATCTTCATCTAGGTCTATATACTTCTGAAGGCAGTGTCTCCATCACCCTAACCCTTCCTTGGGAGTCTTGGTGTGTGGTACTCTAGGATAAACACTTAACCGCCAACCACCTTGGAAGCTTTATACAGGGTTGTTATGAGTTGGAACCAGCTTAATAGCACAACATAACAACAACCAACCTTACCAGCTTAACCACAACAACAACCCTTCTTCAAAGAAGTCCGCACTCATATTCACCCCATGTGAAAACAGCAGTTATGGTGTCCTCAAAGGACTCAAATTAGGTTCTTTTTCAATAAATTATGGGAACATAAAGAAGTCTGAAGGGCCAAGGCTATAGGATAGATGGGATAAGATTTCCCAGTGAAATTCTCACGGGACAGCTTTTGCTCCCCTCGAAGAATGAGCAGGTACATTGTTGTGATGGAAAAACCTTCCTTGATGCAACTTTCCTGGTCTTGTTCTCCCCATTGCTGTTTTCAATTTTCATAAAACTTCTTCCTAATAAGTTCCTGTGATCATCCTGTGTCCTTCAAAGAAAAATCTCTCAAGATTACCCCTTTGGAGTCCTAAACACAGTCGCCATAACCTTCTGAGTTGGCTTCTCTGCCTTAAATTTAACTGGCGTAACTTGTCCTCAGAAGCCACTTTTGATTGGACCTGTTTTTGAAGGCACCTTAAGGAGACTAAGACAACTGCATTACTGAGAGAACTTACCTACAGCCATCCACTGATCATCCACTGATCACAGATCCATGCTGAAACATGTTTTGGGTGGAATAAACCCATATATGTATGAACTGGAACTTTAGTAGTAATACTTTTTGCCTTACCTCATATTTTCACAGCCTTTATTCCATTTGAACAGAGAATTATAGATGAGGAAAATAAGGTTCAGAATACCTTGCTTGTCATGTTATTCTGAGCCAAAACTGGTCCTCCTCATTTCTCAGCAATCTTTCCCTGAACAATGGTGTTGCCCCATCTTCTTGGAAGAGTTGTTGTACTCTTTAGAGACACTGTGTTGTGTGTGTGCCAGGCACTCAGAAGGCTCCTCATAAAGGAGCAAACAAGCTCGGTGGTGCAGGAATTAAGCTCTCCACTGTTAACCAAAAGATACACAGTTGGAACCCACCAGCTGCTCTGTGGGCGAAAGATGTGGTAGTCTGCTTCTGTAAAGACTACAGCCTCAGGAACCCTATGGGACAGTTCTACTCTGTTCTATAGGATCGCTGTGAGTCGGAATCAGCTCGAGACCCTGACGTATTATGGGTCCAGAGAGCAGAGACCATTTGCATTCAACAAATACTGTTGGGTTCTTAGAAGTTCCTTACAATGTGAAACTTATGGGTTAGTTGCACTTTATGGTTTTATTCACTGATGAGTTGATGCACATGCAGTTCTCCGTCAAAGAATTTGCAACGTGTTACTAATTTTTTTTCTTCCTTTTCTATTCCTAATGCCCAAAATACTGTTATAGTCATGACCCGGTAGTTTAAAAAAAAAAAAAAAAAAGTTTCAAGGAACATTGACTTAGGTTTTTGTTTAATCTCTTTGTGTTCTTTTTCGTCAACAGTCTCTGATATTTGATGAAGTTGATCTCTCAGATGCCAGTGTAGCCGAAGCAAGCACAAAAAATGCTAACAACAGCTTTACGGTATGGTTATAATCTGATAACTGCCTACTCAAAAGACATAGAATGAGCCACGCTAAGAGTGGACAGGTGACTTCTCCAGTGACCCAACTGTGGTGTCATCTCATGTATTGCGGTCCTTACAGACTCAGTAAATTCTAATAAATACATTGTGTTTCCTGATACCCAACACTATTCATGATTGTTTGTTTCAGCAAAGCTGGAGTTAAAAATATATTTTAAAAAGTATATATATATATATAATATTTCCTTCTTAGACCTTTTAATTTTAGTGTTAAATTTTTTTTCTTACTTGAAATTTAATATTTCAGTTTATTTCATTGTTGTTGATTATTCAAAAGGTTTATGATTCACTTTTCTCTTACCTACCACTCATCTGTCAGTTTGTCGTACTGTGGTGGTGGCTTGTGAGTTGCTGTGATTCTGAAAGCTATGCCACCGGTATTTTAAATACCAGCAGGGTCACCCATGGTGGACAGATTTCAGATGAGCTTCCATTCAAAGACAGACTAGGAAGACAGAGTGACGAACGAAGACAGAGTGACGAACTACTTCCGAATATATAGTCACTGAAAACCTTATGAATAGCAGAAAAACGCTTGTCAGATATAGTGCCGGAAAATGAGTCCCTCAGGTTGGAAGGCTCTCAAAATGCGACTGGGGAAGTGTTGCCTCATCAAAGTAGACTTGACCGTGATGACGCGAATGGAGTAAAGCCCGTGGGAGTAAAAGCCCGCAAGACCTCCATTTGCTGATGGGTCACAACTCAAAATGAAGAGAAACAGCTGTAAACATCCATTTTCTACTTACCCAGTTGCCTGAAGTTCAGACAGTTGGTATAGTTAGGGCCTTCATCTCTTTCCATTTAGACCATTTATTTGGTAGATATTTAAGAGTTTTCCTCTGTTCCAATTGTTCCATTCCAATCACTAATCACACTACTTAAAAGACCTGCCAGGTCTGTTGTTCCTCCAGCTGAGGCATAAAGTCTTGTAAACTCATGCTTTGGAATTCTAGTATTCTCATAGTTATTTGTCCTATACACCCTACTAGTTTAGCATTTTTCAGTTTCTGCCTGTTCCTTCCAACTCGAATGATTTATTTCCCATTTATAGCTATTGAAATCCTACCCATTCTTCAAAACTCATCTCAGCTATCCCCTACTGCTTTTACGTCTTTCATTAAAAGCAAAAACATGAATTTTGCACCCACTGTGTGCTAGGCACCAGGAATACAGAGATGAATGAATGTATATCACTTCCTTCAAGATATTCACAGTATAGTTTGGGGAAGAGCATCTCAGGGGGGACTCTTATGAGTATATACTCTCCAGAGTTTCCAAGATGTGTTGCTCTTGCTACGTTGTCAGTCCTAGCCCCAACTTTAAAAGCCACCATGACAGTGTGTTGGGTTCGTCTGTAGGCACGACAGGGGAAGTACACGACAGAGTACAGAGCCATGATAGGGGCAGGGGTGGGAGAGGAAGCAAATGATTTCAGATTTGGCTTTACTGATTTATAGACATAAGGGATAATTCATGGAATACATGTGTGCCTCTCAGTCATCCCCAGGGAAAGCTCAGTAAAGGACAGTCAATACTAGCACAATGTGAGAGTACAGAAATTTAAGGTTTGTCCATTCAAGGCTAAGAGAGTATCCTGAAGTATACTGTATTTTCAAAAATAGTGCATCTGTGTAAATAACATGCTCACACGTGTAATAGGTTGGGGAAATGACAAAATGATGGCATAGCTCACCCATGCATAAATCTCATATGTCTCATGACATTTCCAGAAATGAATTTCAGCCTCAGTAGTCTGAAAATGTTTTATTTGATCATCTTTGTATAACAAAGGTATAAACCATGGCCAAGAAGTCTGGATCAAAGTTGGTAGTACAAAGTTGGTAGAAACGGAAACAGTTGAGGCTGTGCATTTCCCCCGGGGCAGTCTGCAGCTGGTCTGTGCTGGAGATGTTGGAAGTACAGGCGGAGGGCCTGCATGAGGTTGACCTGCCACAACCTGAGCATGGCAGGTCTCATAGACAGGACCACTGCTCACATGCACCGCAGTGCTGGCCCCACACGAAGTCAGACAGCAGGACAGTGCGGGTGTGGGTGCACACTCCCCCAGCTCTGCAGGGTCCCCGCTGACCTGACAAGAGATGCATTGACCCCTCTGTACTTGCAGTTTCCACTCCTGCCCTGTGGCCAGCATCTGGATGGCTGGGGATCTGGGAGAGACAGTGGGATGTGCTGGCCTCACTTGCTTGACTGGCTTCCCTTGCTGGAATTGCACAGATCTGTGCTTCTCCTGCCCTGGTGAGAGTTGTTTCCTGGGTGATTTCTTCCTGCATTGAAGGAAGTGATTAACAAAGCAAGGAAAGAATACTCCTGCTAGGAGGGGGGACTGTTTTGGAACTCAAGGGTAGACTGGTGAGGATCTACTGCTGGGAACCAAAGCTCCATGTCAACAGGCACCAAAACAAAGACTTAGCATTAAACCCATTGGAACAGTAAAAAAAACTGAATTAGAAGTCATCAGAGTACTTTAAAAAATTAGCGTCATGCACTGATGAAAAGAATATCATGAAGTACGAAACAACATACAACAAACGTTGTTTGTGTGAAACTGTGATTTAAATGATAAGTAGGAGGCAATGATACTATAAAAATCCAGTGGAAGAGACTTTCAAGAAAGAAGTTGTTAAATGTCAAATGCTGCAGAGAGGTTCAAGTCCAAGAACTGAAATGTGGGCGTCATCCGAGTCCATTGATGAGAGCTATTTTCTTGGAAGGGTAGGTGGGGTGCATTAGGCTGCAGTGTGGGTGCAGAGTGAGAAACTAGAGACCGCCTGGGTAGATGATTTTCCTAAACCCTTAGCTTGTTAAAGGAAAGTACAGCTCAAAGAAGGTTAAACCCAGAAGAGTGTTTGGTTTTGTTGTTGCTCTTTGGCTTTGTTTTTAGAATGAGTTTTTTAAAAAATGTATGAGAAGCCTAAGTTAAAGAATTGGGAGAGAGAGAGGGAGGGATTCGTTGATGGGGAAGGATCAGCCTGAGTAAGCTGAGGGTATACCAGGAACCAGAGTTTAACATTGAACAGAAGATTATAGTGTGGGTAAGAAGTTTGTATCTTTCAAGGCCAAATAGGACTATTTTCTCAGTGAAATTGAAGGCAAGGTTCTCTGTTATGAGTGAGAATTTAAGAAGGTTTGGAGTAGCTTCTATAGATACTAAGAACTGATGCTGCAGAAGATCACTGAATAGTAAAGAAAACCCCTAAGCCAAGCCACCCATTGATGATCTTTTACAGATTTTTTTGAGGCTGTAAATCTTTAGGGTAGTTAGGGGAGCAGACAGCCTCATCTTTCTACAGTGGGATGGCTGATGGCTTTGAACCATAGACCTTGTGGTTAATAGCCCAACATCTAACCCACAGTATAACTAGGGCTTCTGAGGTAGGAAATAGCGTCTACCAAAGATTAAAGATCAAATTTTGTGACGTCCTTCATTTCTAAAAATATAGATTTTTTTTTACGATGGAGTAGGAAAAACCCAGCTAAATTAACCCAAGGTTGATGGGTTGGTTATAGGGCACATTGGACTGAGCGATAAAGGGATTGTTGGATGTTTGAAGCATCAGTAACTCATCTGCTTTCTCCCTCTGAGGTCTCAGTTTTTGAGAATGAAACAACATGGAGTAAGGTACAGCTTTATTAATGACTGAATGGGACTCAATATGGGATTCGGGTAAATTTTTGTAGACCTAAAGCTAAAAGGATTCCTGGTGTGGCGCTGTAGATTAACGCGCGACTGCAAAGCCGTTTGAACTGTAAGGTCGGTGGTTCAAGCTCACCAGCTGTTCCTGGGAAACCCGATACAGGGTCGCTATGGGTCAGAATAGAGTCAACGGTACTTAACAACAACAAAAGCTAAAATACTGCTTATTCATTCTTCCACCACCAAGTGAAGGTGGAGTGGAAAGAGCTCACCAGGTCCCCCAATCAGATTAGCCACTTACCATCCCTGGGGGAGTGGGACAGACATTCCCCTTTCTGCCCTGGGAGACCCTTGGGACAGGGAGTAGGGTTTCACCTAACAGATCTAGAGTATAATCTGACAGTGCCAACATCCAGGATTTCAAGGATGAAATAATTTCAGGTGGCGACAAGGTCTAGGATGTTGGAGTATATAAAGGTAAAGAAAGTTGAAAATCTAGAGTTTTGGAGAAGTTCAAATCCCTCATACAGATCTTCCTTGGCTCGATAATTTCAAGTAACCTGTGCCATTATATCTTTCTTGTAGCATTTACCATATTCTGTCCTATATTCTATTAATGTACTTATTTTTATTACACCTGCCTTGAGGACAGAAACTTTGTCATATCTTTTTACCTCAGAAATATTTGTAGATTTTCATTAACAAGGTAAAACTTAAATCTTGTGCATAAGAACATTTTTATCGAAGTATTTTAAAGAAATTGCTTCACTCAACCAAATATTATTAAAATATATATATATTGGGAAGAAATGGACTAAAAAGTTAAGCAGAAATTAAAACAGGAAGGCAACATCTATCTACCCCTCCAAAAAAGCTCAGAAGGCAGCATCTACCCATCCAAAAAAGCTCAGAAGGCAGAAAGGGGCAAGAACGAAGGACAAATGGAAATGGAAACCCAGGGAGAGAGTGTGAAGGGTGCTGTTACATCAAGGGGACTAGAAGCAATGTCACAAAACAGAATGTGTATAAATTGTGAATGGAAAACTAATTTGTTCTGTAAACTTCTACCCAAATGATAATAAAAAGAGAAAAAAAAAACCATGGAATCGGAGCAACCAGAATGGAAGTAATGCTGCCACGTTGTTAAACTATAACCATTGTCACTGAACAATATGTATAGTGGTGGCTATGTGCCGTGGAGTCGGTTCCCACTCATAGTGACGCTGTGCAGGGAATTCATAAAAGATTAATACCCTAGGCATTAGTGAGCTGAAATGAACTGGT